CCCCCCCCAAATTTGTATTTCTTTTACATGTGAATAAGAAGAAAGAAAACTCTTTGGATACGACAGTCGTATCACGGGGTCGTTACAGCGCAGATCTACGTAACAAATGAACTCCTTTTTGGGGCACCTTCCGAATCGTTTACTGCGAGGGAAATACCGGTGAACGCACACCGGCGCAATAATCTTGTGAGGTTTTAATTTTGTACTGGGGCTCTAATGCGGTACCGGGGTAAGTATTTTCCAGCCTTGTGACTAGACATGAGAGAGCACCCAACTTGTCGACGTAGTAGAGCGTGTGTGGCTGGACACGTAAGCCTTGTGCGTGCGTGCTCCGGTCAACGTTTTCCGCTTGTGATCCGCTGCGACGCATATATCAGGTGCGGTCTGCATCCCCGAGCTCGGCGGAAAAGAAAAGAAGTATTTGCGTCGTGACTTCCTGGACAAAATATTCTTCGATGGACGTATTTTCTGTGCAGTTTCTCGCCACCTGCCCCCCATCCTGTTGGGGGGCAGGAGGGGGAGCAGGAAAGGGGAGACAAGATGAGAATATAGTTATGGAGCCGGTGAAGCAGCCCGATGGTGACGCCCTTGTGACGTTCACAATGATGCTAAGGACAATTAAAAAAAAAACAAAAACAAAAAAACCCCACAGTAAAGACAAAAAGGCTCAATCTGAGTAAGAATAATGAAGACAGCATGGCAGTTATTTAATTAAATAAAAGCCACACCTTCAAATAGTTAACAACAATGACTTATTAGCAGAAAATGGATTTTACAAGCAAAAATGGATATATTAAAGTAGCCTGCGTGGTATTTTAGAATATCCTAATAAATACACGTGGTTGAGTGAAATACTGAAGAAATGAATGATGCAAACATAGATGAAGCACATCAGTACCTCAAAAGAGGATTTGTTTAAATGTAAAGTGCCCTACAGTTAACCAGTGCTCACAGTATGTTTTCCCCCTCTTATTTCTATTGAACTGGAAGAAAAAAATGTCATATTTCTCTTTTTATTTTTAAGGTCTTCCTAATCTAAGACTTGCTTTGTGTGATTTCCATGTATTCTCTCTGATTTCCTGTGCCCTCTCCTGGCCATTATAGGAAGAGCAGTTTTGTCTACCTCCATCTCAATGACAGATTGATAGACACCTAGGAAATGGAATGAGCTGATAAGTATGTAATGACATAACCTGGCAGCTATGTGCCGGCTTCAGTTCATACCTTATCGTGCCTTTAATGGTATGAGAGAGAGAAGGGGGAAAAAAAAGATCCCTCAAACAATGAGACTTTACAGTGCAAAGAACTGAGGCATGATAAAGCAGAAAGCAGAGAAGCAGAGTGAATGACAGATAAGGAGAAAGACAGCTTTAAGGAGGAGAAGGTTGACATGTAATTGTAGCAGTCCTGAGAGGAGTTCCTTGGCTGGCTTCAGAGTTAAATTGAAGAATAACAGTTGGGTTCATTAGCGGTGTCACTAAGCTCCTGTTTCTGCTGACTCAGAGCGTGTGGATTCACCTGTGTGTGCTGGTGCAGTCTCTACAGTGGATACAGTTGGTCTGTGCACACTTTTTGCTGACTTGGTACAGGCATAGCTAAACACATGCACTTTTAATGAAACAGTGCTTTCCTAAAAGTACAAAAAACAGCCTCCCCTGCGTTGAACTGCACACTGACGCACATTTGCAAACGTCATCGTGTTAGCACAAAAGCAGGGTGATGCCTGTCGGTGCTGTGGGGACAGCGGCCTGGTGTAATACTCCAGCAAACACTCCATGAGCCACGGCTTTATCAGTGATAGGACACAAGAGTAATTAGCTGTTTACAGTACAGCCAAAGTCACGTTGTTTTAAGCCGGTGAGTGTTTGGAGTTTTTCCATCCTGAGCAATCATGCCATGAGAACTGCAGTGTGATTTCATGCAGCTGCACGAGTAGTTTTCCACACAAGTGCACGACACAGTAAAAACACACACACACACACACACACACACACACACACACACACACACACACACACACACACACACACACACACACACCAACCCACACACACACACACA